AGACTATTTATAATTTCTAAAATAGGCTATCTATAATGTTAGAGCCAACGAAAACTGGAACTGAACTATTTAACTACATAATCTTGAAGGAAGTTAATCGATTGTTCTACATATCATGGGTGATAAATATTCAGGTCTTTTTTTTAAAAAAAATTTATTTTTGCCAACGTTTCAATCCAAACATGTGGGTCATCTTCAGGGCTGAAAATGTTTTTTAAAATTACAATCAGATATATAATAGTAGTAATAACCTATAGTGATTTATTTTAATAAAGACTTGTAAAGACTTATAATAAAGACGGTCTTTATTATAAAAATTATTTATCTAACCATTGTATACTTGTTATCAAACTAAGCTATATTTATATTGATTGGCACCTTTTGCTTATGTTCATTCCATTACTAGCCAATAGTCGCATTTTGTAACCATATGAAATAACTCAAATATTGTACACGTCTGAAATATTTAGTCAGCGAATTATGTACATTCTACAAACATAAAAGTTACCCCCCTTCCCCTCTAACTATGTTTACCTACCTTTTGCTATCTGAAAAAGGACAACTGAACTTTTTACTTGCCTACCAAAAATGTGTCAGTACTTAAACACCCTCAGTGCTCAAACCACGGTTAGTAAGAGAGAATATTACAAATTTGTATAAATGGATTATATACATTATTTTTTTTAGTTTTAGTTTGTATAACTATTTACATATTTAATTTTAATATGTGTATTGCAATATTAGTTAAGATTCATGTATCATCAATCACCATATTTTATTATTTATAATTAGCGGTCGTATACTATCATATCTCTGATTGTAATGTTGAATAACATTTTCAGCCCTGAAGATGCCCCACATGTTTGGGTTGAAACATTGGTAAAAATAAAAAATTTCTAAAAAAGACTGCGCCCTGAATATTTATCACCCATAACTACATGATCATTATTTCATATGTCAAAATACATGAAATAATCAACTACATAAAAATTTATCGACTATCTATAAAAAACAAAATGATTTCATTACTGCCAGAACTAAAAACGTTATTTCAGGTTCAAAGGTGTACTGCCGTGTTGCTTCAATGAAGCTATGTAAAACGGTTTCAAAAAACTAAACTCTAATAACAACACGGCTTTGATCTCTATGGACTGCTAAAGGCATTCGATTCCGCTCGTCACGGACTTTGCCGGAGGCTTATCGACTTTCAGAACAATTATATTTATTATTTAAATCATTTCCGAGCCAGCGTTATTTTACATTAAAAATAGGAAATAAAAACGTTTTATTCTTAGGATCTCACTTGTGGATTACTTCAAGGAGCAGTTCTATGTCCAGTTGTTTCTATTAGACACCATGAAAATAAAGGAAACTACCCAAATTCAATATGTATCCCTGAACATAATTATAAAAAATATTATATAATAAATTTAATTTTATTATTATTATTATTATTTTTTTTAAACAAAGAGTACTCAATTCACTCATAATCTATTTTTGTAGTACTTGATTCTAAGAAGCTCTTTAAATAGTTTTAATAGCTAAATAATTTTATAATGTAAGTAAAATTTTTCTGATTTTCATGTAAGAACCTCTTTGACTATTTAACTAATACATCTTCAAGTACCTTCCAAAACATCTTCAAAGAACTCAGTTCTGAGACAAGGTTGAATGACCTCGTTCCCATTTGAATTATGTTTTGAGTTTGGCCCATTCGTTACGGTAAAGATTTCAATAACCTCTCAAATGCCAAGTCACGCCATAGTCCATTTTTAAAACGTAGAATTGCAAATGCTCGTTTTGTGAGGTTATTATTATTCGACAGTAATAGGAAAGAGGAATGAACAATAGGCAGTTAGACGAGAAGATTGAGCATTTTTGCAACGCCAGCAACAGGCCAAACACATTACATACTTATTCTCAACTTTTGTTGTTTGGAAAAAAGAAATGTATTTTGACAAAAGTTTCTAATCTGTCATAGTTAGAATTTGCTATCTCCAAAATGTTTTTTGCAATAAGCAAATCTATACACTTTCGCGTATGTATTAAGTTAGAAAGTATCTTGGCCACCCCTTTAAAGGTCGTCGGGGTGCGATATATGGGTTCGTCCTGAAATTAATTATTTAGCATTGTGTTGCGGTATCTCAAACCATATTGATTAGAAATAATTAAAGTTTTATTTTTTGTATTCACTCACATGTTGTTCCTTTTATATACTCAAACATATCAATCAGCTTTCATTGATTGATTTGTTTATTAAAGTCTTAGTTTTAGTCTTAGGCGAGCCTCCAGTAATTAGATGTTGCCAGTCCCTATCTCGTAGATAGCTACAGAACCATCTCTAGGAAATAACTCCGGAACAAACAGTTTGGGTTATCGCTCTCCCCGAACCCCGGCGTTGTGTAAGATGCCATCATTAGGCCATATCTGTTTTGGATCCATCACGCCAACGCTTGACGCTGTTCGCTTGTTCCCTTAACGAGACGTTGGATCCTGTTTGGAAATCCTTACCAGAGCCACTTCTGCTTGGGATAACATTTCCTTATAGGGCTACCGGATTTCTGGACTACGAATTTGGTTCATCACGAATTATTTTATATTAATTAATTTAATAATTCGGTCTGTAAGCGGGATATATTGTAAAGGAAGGAGATGGTCCGGGTTGGCGGTCATAAAAAGACTAAAATAGTGAAAAAAAATATTCTATTTCAAGCCAACGTTTCGACCAGACTTTACAGGTCTTCTTCGGGGCTAAAACGTACAAGGTACAAAAGAATATAAAAAATCGTGGAAGTTACATAATATTAAAAAAAAAATATAAGCAATGTTAATAAACCTATTAAAATTATAAACAGTGTGAATAGAATGTACATAGAAATATTAAGAACTATTTATAATGAATTTATGAATGAATGTAATAACACTATACAAACATAGTGAACGAATTATAACTAAGTAACAAGATCCTAAACTGAAGTAAATAAATGGTAACACGGGCGGATCTACAGGGAGGGGGGGGGCTTTGGGGCTGAGGCTCCACCCCAAAATGGTAATATATAACTTATGTTTTATGGAAAAAAAAAATTAAAATATTATCTCTCAAAATATTATTGTTCGTGTAATTACTTAAACACCATTTCATATAGGTAGTTAGTTTCTTTCTTTTTTTGCATAGTAACTATCGGTATTTTTATGAAAAGAAAAAGCTTTCGGACTGAAGCGTCCCGTCCAAAAAAAAATTAAATTCTGGATCCGCTAGCGAATGGTAACAGTATGATGATACCATATTTGAATAATATGGAATATCACAATTTCCAATAGCGGTCATAAAAAGACTAAAATAGTGAAGTACTATTTTATTTCAAGCCAACGTTTCGACCGGACTCTGCAGGGCTTCTTCAGGGCTAGAACGAACAAGATACAAAAGAATATGGAAAATTGTGGAAGTTACATAATATTTAGAAAAATAAAATAAACAGTGTGAATAGAATGTACATAGAAATATTAAGAACTATTTATAATGAATTTATGAATGAATGTAATGAAACTATACAAACATAGTGAACGAATTATAACTAAGTAACAAGATCCTAAACTGAAGTAAATAAACGGTAACACGGGTGGATCTACGAGGGGAGGGAGGGGCTTTGGAGCTGAAACCCCACCCCAAAATGGTAAAATATAACCATGTTTTATGGAAAAAAAATATTAAAAAATTATCTCTTAAAGTATTATTGTTCGTGTAATTACATTTAAAAGGACTTTAGGAATCACTTAAACACCGTTTCATATAGCTAGTTGTTTCTTTCTTTTTTTCCAAAGTAATTATCTTTATTTTTATGAAAAAAAAAGCTTTCGGGCTGAAGCCCCCCCCCAAAAAAAAAACTTAAATTCTGGATCCGCTAGCGAATGGTAACATTATGATGATACCATATTTGAATAATATGGAATATCACAATTTTGATCATTTACAAAGAGAATGGAATGCTGAACATGTCTTCGCTTACAGTATGCAGGTCCAAATTTTAGTTTCTGAGATATTTTAAACCTTAATTTTAATAATTTAAGAACATTTTCTTGAAACGCCACAACGTTTTGAACTTTTCGATGGGTTCAAATAGAAAATCCAGAAGAAGTGAAGGAATGAAAAATCAAAGATTCTGGAACTGATGGAGGTAAAAAAGAACATACTAGCAGTTATTGAAGAATAAAGATTAAAGTGATTAATCATGATTAATAATGATTAAGATTAGAATGTTAAACGAATGTCTGTAGAAAAATTTGCAAAAATAAGTATAGATCTGGACGTAGAAGTAAGAAGGGAAAAAGAAAGACTGAAAATTAAAACCATTCAAGGAAAACCAGAATAGTTTTTTTTTCTTATGCCGTAGTTATTGGTTATTCGACCATCCGACATCTTGCTGCCCAGTATAAGTTTGATTTTTTTTTATAATCATTCACATATGTTTTATTTTTTATGTCCGTCAAAGCAGGACATTTGTCTAGGTAGTCTGCATCCAAAAAAAACAAAAAAAAAAACACAATATCGGAAAATTCCTTAATAAAAAGTAATCAGATTATTATAATGTAGATCATTAAGCGTAAGGAACACATTTTCAGATATCAGTAATTAATTTTTCTTTTTGTCATAATCTTTTCTTTTTTTTTATTGAGGGATTTGCACTTTTTTTCGGCATTAATGGAGATTGTCTCTAATTTTCTAAATAATGGCTTAACCATTGGTTTTTATGAAGTATTAAGGAAGGAACAGTTGATGTACTGGAAGGCGAAGGAGGCGTCCATTTATGAAGGAACTCCCTGAACATTCTTGGTTCCACTTATCTGTGCATTTATTACTGTAATAAATTTACTAATGCAGGTTATAAATATTTTAATCTCGCAAATAGAGTTTACCCGAAGGATCAATAATGCTTCGATCTTATTATCTCTTTTATTTAACCAGGTTGAATATTATTAACCGGCGTAAAGAGGTCCTTAAAATGATATCCTTAAGAACGAATCCTGTATGCAGAGGCAGGAAACAGGTCCTTCTCGGGGTCAGCTCATCGCCATTCAAGACCTTCTTTTTTTCCACCGGTCGGCCTTCCATACTTATTAACCAGCGCACGAGGATCGGCGGCTTGTTAAAAGGAAGTCTCCCTCAGCGAGATGAGTAATCCTCACATCTCACCTCGAGCTCCAATCTTCGGGGATTTCCCCTTCCAATTATCGTTCCCAAATGAAATGGCTCGTCTTTAGTTCTAACTTGCATTATTTTCTTCAGATCTATCTATTTTCTAAGTATCTTCTAAGGGAGATACTTATTTTCTAGGTATATAAGTAAGAAATTTTTTTCCAGTGATTTATTCTCCCAAAATCATTCCATCTTCTGACAGTATCCTGCATCATCTTAATTCTCCATAAGACTTGTCATGTTAATTAAATTGTCTTATTGCTGGAAATCTTATTTAAGTCTCCTCTAGGGAGAGTCTAGTCAGTATCTAACTACTAATACATATACTGTCTGAAGATGGGATATAAGTGGATCCCGAAACGTTATATGTAATGATATAATTGAGTAGAAAAAAAATTGGAGGATAAATCACTGGAAAAAAATATTCTTACTTGCATCATTTTGTTTTATAAAGTGGGAGTTTTGAATTCATGCAATTACCTAATTGTGATTCTGTCATTATACACACTAACTAAAAGAAGTTAGAGACACGTATTTTATATGATTTTGAATCTACTTATGAATTATTAGAACCAAGGCAATGGTAAATACTTTAAAAGATGTTTGCTAAAAGAGTATTTGACACATTAGCCCCGCCCGTTACTTTTTAAATAGGAAAAAGTAACTTTTAAATCCTCATATTAGTTCGTGGTACAAACCCCTTTTTATCAAATTATTAACATCCGTCTAAAACTTCGTAAATAGATTAATCTCATCGTTACCTACAACTATTCTATTTGTGAAAACTCTTGCAATTGGGACGTTTTCAATCTGGAGGTAGTCAAACTTTGTATATTTGATGAGGTACTAAAAACTCATGAATACTCATTTGCTTTCCGCTTGGATCGTAAGATAATTTGACCTCAATATCGAGAAAAAAAAACTAAAATATATATATATATATATATATATATATATATATATATATATATATATATTGGACTGTTTGGCCTATATAACCTCATTATTTCGATATTTTGGAGTGTAGGCCACGCCAAACGGCTCAATATTTTTTAAGGCTATATTTTTCCTCGGTTTTACGATCAAAGTGGAAAGCAAATGCGTATTTACGAATTTTTAGTACCTAATTAAATAGAGAAAGATCTACTGTCGGAAGTGTGGAGAGAGAATGATGTTGGTCCAACTAATGGCTATTGCTATTATATGGCTCAAGCTGACTAATGACTAATGGCTATTGCTATTAGATTTTTATAGATTATTATACAATATATTAAATATAACAAGGTGTTTTTATCGTTACCTTTTTAATGATTCCATATCATATGTTTGTAAGGAGTATGTTCATGTGAATATATGACCTTTATGTTTAGTAAGAATTGTGGATTGAAATTCCTCAACGTCTTGAAGTGCGAACTTTTTTCTAGTCTAACAAAGCCTGTTCGAATCCTGTCTGGACAGTTTGAAATTTCAAATAGCCCTTCTGTGAACCAGAAATGGCTAGGCACGGTGTAAAAAGAAAATATATCTCATAATCAGAGAAACCTTCAGCTAATGTAAAAGAACAAATATTGAGCATTGTGCCAGTATCAAATTCATTATGAAGAGATTTATTACATTAAATAGTCTAGTTAAAAAAGAAATATTCTTAACTAGGGTACGTTACAATAACAAGTCTAACTATAATAGTGTACATACATTTATTTCAATATCTCTGAGATTCGAACCCATTCATGTTTCGGGGTCTAAAGGGATTGCCTAAGTACAACCCCGTTAAAGTTTTAATGACTATAATTAAATAATAAAAGGCAGGCGGACAGATTGGGCTAAAGGAGAGTTATATATGGCTATTAGTAGAGACCTAATTCGCTACGCACATTCTCACCTAATAGAGGTTAATAGCGTCTCAGTCATTTAACTCCCGGGTCAATGCTTCTTGAATTAGACCTCTAGCACTCCCGCCTCTTTCACTGCTTTATAGATAGTAATTTATAAGTAAATAAAGTAAGTAATTTTTTAAGTAAAAAATCAAGGCGCGTTTTACAATTTTTTTTTCTATGAAGCTGAGCCTTCAGGCTCGAATGTGTACCGTCCATTCGGATAAAGTCGGCTCTAGTCGACTCATTGAAGTGTTTTTGTATGTGGATTAAAATATCTCAGAATCTCTAAATCGGACTCACATACTGCAAGCAAACGAAATTTTGGGCATTTCATCCTTTTTGTAATGAGCTATTATTCAAAATTATATCTTAACACCACGGCGTGTTAGAGAGGGGAAAAGGGAAAAATATTGTCGAAAACAAACCGATAACGAGTTTTATTGAAGATATAGATTAAAATATCTCAGAAACTAAAAATCGGACTTGCATACTGTAAGCAAGGGAAATGTTCAGCATTTCATCCTTTTTGTAATGAGCTATTATTCAAAATTATATCTTAACACCACGGCGTGTTAGAGAGGCGAAAAGGGAAAAATATTGTCGAAAACAAACCGATAACGAGTTTTATTGAAGATATAGATTAAAATATCTCAGAAACTAAAAATCGGACTTACATACTGTAAGCAAACGAAATTTTGGGCATTTCATCCTTTTTGTAATGAGATATTATTCAAAATTGTATCTTAACGCCATGCCTTGTTAGAGAGGCGAAAAGGGAAAAGATAGTTGTCGAAAACCAAATGATGACGACTGTTTTGAACATTCGGACTAAAATATCTCAAAATCATAATATTATGGGGAATTCAGAAACTGTTTTGCGGAATTCAATATAGATATAGAATTTAAATGGTAAATGGTAAAATATTTTTACCATCTCTACTTATGTTTCTCATACCTTGTTATCTGGTTATTTTCTTAGCCCTGATGAAGGCCTGAACTTCAGGTCGAAACGTCGGCAAATGTCAAAATAAATATTATTATTTATTTTTGCCTTCTTATTTCTGACTGATCACCCTAACCATTCTTCTCTTCATTATTCACGACAGTCAACCATTAACCCAAAATTGTAAAATAAAATAATTAATCAAAGTACGAGTACCTTTTTGTTGTTGTTTAAATCCAGTCCTTAAATAGGTGGAATAAATAAGAGAATCTTGGACTCATTTCTTTGGCATCGTCCAAAAACATTTCCGACTGCTTAATTGTTTCTTTTTTAAAGAAGCTTATGTAAAAATAAATATTATCATTTATTTTTGCCTTCCTTTTTGACTGACCACCCCAACTATTCTTCTCTTCATTATCCACGACAGTCAACCAATTACCAATTATCAATATAGATATATTTTTTTAACTACCCATAAAAATAAGAAATAAGAACGTATGTGTTTTAATTCGATTTTATGTTGCACTCGATAAAGTTTCCACAAATTACTGACCCCCGTTGCAGAAGTTATATTAAAAAAATGACGGAGTTATTGTTAGATATTTAGCAAACAGATTTCAATCAAAAATATTCATCACATATTTTAGATATCATAAACCTACTGCATTAAAAATCATTTATAGAGTATGATAGAAGTGACGATCAGTCAGAGCAAAGTTTATTACAGTAATTTATACACAATTATAATTGTATATATTCTAAACTTTTTTTTTTAATATAGTACAAAAAGTAGTTTATACATAACTATAATTATATAAATTGTAAATTTTATTAGGATGATCGCACGAGTTATGTGCAGGTGATCCAGTGATGGACAGATTGAACTTAAAATGTAAATAATAAGCTTCCATGCTGATTGAAAGGTTGCAGTGTTTTTGTAGATTGAAGAACAATGCCCTCTATTGACAACTGTATGAACAATATATCCAAAAGAAAATTTTAGAATGCCTATCATTGTTGTTTCTATAGTGCTCTTGAGATTAGAGTGCTTCATATCTTCCTATTAAAAGTTTGGAGTAATTTGAACATTTATGTTATTTTATCTCTATCATTATGTCATAACTAGTGCAAAAAGGTGTTTTTTAAAATGATGATTATACCTGCATAACTGAATTTTTTTTTCAATTTTTTTTCAAATTTTTTCAAATAGAAAAAGAAGACTCAAGAGATTCTAGATGTCTAAAGGAGAAGTTTATAACTACAATAATTAAGTTAGCATAGGCCAAAAAAGACAAACATTTTCCTATCTATGTGCATCACTGGTGTTTGTTAATATTGAACAAAAAAAAAATGTTTTATATTAATAATCTTCCTAGTTGAATTTTTCACATATCCTCGAAATATTAATTAATATCGTGTTACATGGTGCTCTAGGGGCGTCTGCAACACCGGAAATCTTAGGTTTGAAGTACCATTGAGGACACCGGAAGGAAGTAGGTTCCTCTTACCCGGATGTGGTGCTATGAGTAGGAAACCTGATTTTTCACAGCCTGATCGATACCGATCCACGTCATATCATATAGCCTATACTCATAACGTATGGCTGTTGTACAACATCTACTTATCAATAATATTTTTTATCAACATAGTTATATTCGTGGATACACTCACGACGTAAACCTCACTCTATCTTCCTCTATATATATTAGGTTTCCCTGTTGACCAATAGGTTATTCGATAAACCAACAGTACCTTGAAGATGACTCTTAGATACTCCTCCACTCGAATCAAGTTCCAGAACATGAAGACGATGGCGTAACCAAAGACGTGAATGGACTGGCAGGAGATTGGATGCTGCAGCTCTTTATTGCATCCTGCTACCGCACTGTTTTCTTCAGCAGTGGATCAAAGCGCATTCATTATCTTTGCTAATTAATTCCAACAAAAGGGTCGTAGATGAATGGGGCTACTGCTTTAAATAGAATGCTAGTCAGTCCCTTCTAATAATAATCCATGAGTTTTTCTGCCGCATCAGAGATTTTGATATACCTCATTAAAATTCTCTCATTTACATTTTCCCTAACCATTTAAAAGTAATTATTTACGATCTTGAGACTTTCGAGTTTTTTTTTTCTTTTATTGCATAAATATTGTGTTAATTTGGTTATTATATATTGTAAAGAGAAAAAGTTCTCACAGGATTTCAGATATTTATTTTTCTTAGCTGAGAATTCAAGATTCAAGATTCTAATTTTGATTATTTGCATGCTAGGATTGACGGTGCTCAACAGGATTCTTTTCAATAATATTTTTTTAAAAAATAGTTAACCCATTTCTTGAATGTATCAAAAAGATTTATTTATTTTAATGTGTTTTATTCAAGACTTTTATTTGTCGGGTATCTTTTGTAACGTTCTTGCGCATCTCTGTGTGGAACTTTGCTATAAGTAAAAGGTTACGAGATAGAGACTAATGCATTCCTAGAGGTGTTATTGTATGTTCTTTTGTTGATGGGACTTTTCTTATACCTTGCATTAAAGTAGTTCCTTTGATGCATGAATGACTTCTTCATAAGTTCTTTTCTTATTCTATTGAATGAAACCTTCTATATTATGTTTTTTTTCCGCACAATAAAAAAATCTTTGTGAACACTGACAATATTCGACGAATGCTTTCAGACTCATACTGTAATGTGAATGTATACGATATACGTTTTTTTCCTTCTCAATCGTTTTATAGCTCTGTTCGCAAAATAAGATATACTATCTGCCAGCAGTAAGAATGTTATGGACTTTGTATAAAATATCATCACGTTGGCCTCGAATTCTGAACACTCGTGCTGTTATGAACCCGATTTAGGAACCGATATTGTCCCATAACTGTTGAGATCCAACTGGGAGAAAGTCATTGCGAAGACGTGACATCTGAAGACAACAAGAACACAAGCAGTTCCGTGACTGTCGCCAACGGTTAGTCGTAACCACAATCGGGTATCTCCTGGGGGTGTCGTCCTGTGTTGGAAGTTGGGAGGATCACGAGTCGAATCCTAATGATGTTGCGGATGGTGCCTACCAATAGCTCTGAGTCTTAGTCATAGGTTAGGTGACATCAAAGTGTATTTTGACCGTTGTTCGTTTTTAGCATTCTTAAGTCCAGTGAAGCCGGTTCGAAACCGGCCTGGGCGGGTTGAAATTTATTTCGTGGTGGATCCATGGAATAAATCTCGACTTTCCCACTCGCGTTAGAATAGGTTTGATTTTACCTCAAGAACAGCTCTCGTCTACATGTGAGAAATATCGAAGTAGGAAGTTACCCAAAAACAAAGAAATCAAAATATGTTTGTCACAATTCTAGATTTTAGACTATTTTAAATTTTACACTTTTACACAAAATCGTAAAGGGTAACTGAGGTGGGAGAACATCACAAGAAAGGTGGTGAAATAAAGAAACCTTAGGTGCCGGCACTGATGTAGTATTGGTGGGAAGGAGGGCAAAAGTTAAGGTAACATGATAGCAATGTGCTAGGCATGGGATGGAGGAGAAGGGAGGATATTATCCGTCATGCATACAGATGTTGCTCTAAGGGTGGAGTGCCCGGCATTCTGATAAACTGAAGATTACATGATAACATGATAAAATAATTACAAAGTTGCGTCCCGAGAGAGGTAAGAGACTTTTAACTCTGGCGTTAATCCCTCGCCTTATCCCCAAAAAATATATTTAGATATAGCTAACTCTGTAATCAGTTTATCATCTGTATTACAATTAGTGGTGCTTAAATGCGAGACCGAGACGCGTCTTGGCCTTGCAAACTCAGTTTTGGTCTTGCGCAAGAGTCTCGCAAAAGTGTTGCACTTAGTTATTAGCTTATTAATATAGAGATATTACTGTATTTTTTTAGATATGAGAAACCTAACTAAGCCCGAATGAAAAATCAGAGAAGTTAAATGCAAAAGTATATTGGTTATACGAATTATTTACATGTAATAACTAAGATTGTCAAGTATTAGTAACTATTTTGCCTTAATTTTTATTCAAAAAATCGATTTTTTTTTAACAGTCCTGGTCTTGGTCTTGCAACAGTCAGCCGGCCTTGGTCTTGGTCGTGCAAAGTGCAAGACAAAGACCGATTTTGGGCAATGCTAATTACAACCCAGTATATATTTGGAACAAACCATTACAATGGAATAAGAATTAAAAAAAAATATCCTCTCTTATAATGCATAATGCATAGAGTTAGCTTATTTCTACATTATATTGCCATTTGTTCATTGTCCAATATAATATGAGAATTTTTCGTTCGGGTCAATTAATTAATTATCAGCTAATTAATTAAACATTGCCTAATTAGGTATTATAGAATTATTTTAATTTAATGACTATGAAATGCTGAAGGGCCTGCACCCTTCATAAAATATTGTTTTTCAGATAGATCCTTTTTTAAATTTTTTTTTTTAATTTACCATTATAGCAAAATTGAAATAGGTAATCATTTCATCACTTCAGTTCCATATATGCCTGATTATATGCTCAACGATCTTAGAGTTGTGTTTATTAGGTTAGTCTTTTTAAGTTATAGCGCAGCAGTTAAGTGAAAATATTACTTTGCTCTCTGGCCCAGTTTCGATATGGCAGAAAACTGTTTTTTTTTATTTCTATCACCATGGATTTGGAAAGCTTTAATCACGGCACATCCAGCTTCTACAAAGTGGGTACCTGATTCATTAATTGGTTATTGGAAAAACCTGATGCTAGATAGTGCTTATGGCCTGCACATCTTGTACAACCGTACGTCACAAAACAGTACTTCAATACTACTACTCTTTTTTTGTTTGTTTTTTAAATAATTTTTTTCTCTCATTAACATTATCTATAAACATTGATATGTTATTGATATCTATTGTTTTATTAAGGAACATTCACTAACAGATCTACCACTTACTAGTCCGTGGTACAGACCCCTTTATATCAAATTATTAATATCCGCCTGAAACTTCGTTAATAACTTCATCTCATCGTACCTTACAAATATTTTATTGAAGGAAGTTCTACGTATCATGGGTGATAAATATTCAGGACGCAGTCATTATAAGGTTTTAATCAGTGCCGACGTTATCGATTTGTTTTCGACAATATTTTTCCCTTTTCGCCTCTCTAACACGCCGTGGTGTTAAGATACAATGTTGAATAATAGCTCATTACAAAAAGGATGAAATGCCCAAAATTTCGTTTGCTTACAGTATATAAGTCCGATTTAGAGATTCTGAGATATTTTAATCCACATACAAAAACACTTCAATGAGTCGACTAGAACCGACTTTATCCGAATGGGCGGTACACATTCGAGCCTGAAGTCTCAGCTTCATACAAAAAAAAAAGTGTAAAACGCGCCTTGATAAGTTTTTACTTCAAAAATTACTTACTCTATTTACTTATAAATTACTATCTATAAAGCAGTGAAAGAGGCGGGAGTGCTAGAGTTCTAATTCAAGAAGCATTGACCCGGGAGTTAAATGACTGAGACGCTATTAACCTCTATTAGGTGAGAATGTGCGTAGCGAATTAGGTCTCTACTAATAGCCATATATAACTCTCCTTTAGCCCAATCTGTCCGCCTGCCTTTTATTATTTAATTATAGTCATTAAAACTTTAACGGGGTTGTACTTAGGCAATCCCTTTAGACCCCGGAACATGAATGGGTTCGAATCTCAGAGATATTGAAATAAATGTATATACGCTATTATAGATAGACTTGTTATTGTAAAGTATCCTAATTAAGAATATATTTTTTTAACTAGACTATTTAATGTAATAAATTTCTTCACGATAAATTTGATACAGGCACAATGCTCAATATTTGTTCTTTTACATTTACTGAAGATTTCTCTGATTATGAGATATATTTTCTTTTTACCTCGTGCCTCGCCAACGCTGGTTGACAGAAGGGCTATTTGAAATTTTAAACTGCCCAGGCCGGATCCGAACAGGCTTTGCTAGACTAGAAAGAAGTTCGCACTTCAAGACGTTGAGGAATTTCAATTCACAATTCTTACTAAACATAAAGACACTGCAAAGGTCATAGATTCACATGAACATACTCCTTACAAACATGTGGAATAATTAAAGAGATAACGATAGAAACACCTTTAATACATTGTATAATAATCTACAAAAATATAACAACAATATATACTAGCCAGTTGACTTTCCAAACAATACTCATATAGTCCGTGCCGAGCTGGCAGAAAACTGTTTTTTTTTATTTCTATCACCATGGATTTGGAAAGCTTTAATCACGGCACATCCAGCTTCTACAAAGTGGGTACCTGATTCATTAATTGGTTATTGGAAAAACCTGATGCTAGATAGTGCTTATGGCCTGCACATCTTGTACAACCGTACGTCACAAAACAGTACTTCAATACTACTACTCTTTTTTTGTTTGTTTTTTAAATAATTTTTTTCTCTCATTAACATTATCTATAAACATTGATATGTTATTGATATCTATTGTTTTATTAAGGAACATTCACTAACAGATCTACCACTTACTAGTCCGTGGTACAGACCCCTTTATATCAAATTATTAATATCCGCCTGAAACTTCGTTAATAACTTCATCTCATCGTACCTTACAAATATTTTATTGAAGGAAGTTCTACGTATCATGGGTGATAAATATTCAGGACGCAGTCATTATAAGGTTTTAATCAGTGCCGACGTTTCAACCCAAACATGTGGGTCATCATCAGGGCGTGGCTCGAGCACTGATGATGACCCACATGTTTGGTTTGAAACGTCGGCACTAATAAAAATCTTATAATGACTGCGTCATGTATATTCATCACCTATAAATATTTTATTTGTGAATATTCTCGGAATAGGGGCGTTTTCAATCTGGAGATTCGCAAAGTTTGTCTATTTAATTATG